GTTGGACCAGATGATATTGGGAATTTTGATGCAGTGTTTACAGAAGAAATGGTCCCATACTCAGTTTGCGTTTCTTCCGATTACAACATCGTTAATGCCAGTGTCCTAGAGGCAGATGATGCATTTGTTGGATTTTCTTACGCACCACCTTCTGAAGATATGTTTTCCTAGGAAGTTAGAAGCCAACAGTGTTTTGGAAGTCTTGGGGTGAACTGAAGTGTTGGGATTATGGACACATTCCAAAATAGTGTAACTAGTGCCTCGTTTTGTATGTAGGTTTGAAACCTATGAACAAACTTTCTCTGCTGTATTGGAGGAATTTGGGCATTTTGGATGGCTTTCTTTGGGGTTTGAACTGTTTGTTCCTGCTGCAGAAAATATTTTTTAAAAAGCGTTCTCTACATATTTTTTAAGCAAAAACACTGACTGTTCTCCTCAGTCCCTTCAAGTTTACATTCATACCTGTCTAAGATTTGGCTGGCACAAACAGCAAATTTAGTAAATTTATAAATGCTTTTGTACCTATTTACAGTGACTTTGTGCTTGAATTGTAACTATGCAAATCGTATTTTGTATATCCTGGTTTAAAAAAAGGTAAACGTGTTTTCCCTGTTCTATCAGTCTGAAATATATGTTAATTTACCTGTCAGCACTTAAATGAGGGGCTAATATAAGTTAAGACTGAGATTCATAAAAGGACTTCTACAGAATGAATAGTTGGTTGTGTAAAACTGGATTGTTGCTTTTGCGTTTGCTGTGAAGTACCCTTTCACTCAACTGGATCGTCTGAGGTATGGAGGATTACTCAAAGCAAGGATGGAACAAATTAACTGGATTGATTTGATAACATTACTGATCATGTGTTCTATTTCTCTTTCCTCCTTGAGGTAAATGCGTCTATATTTCAACTACATTAAAAATATTTTTGGTTAAAACTCTGCTTTTCCAAAGATACAATATGCAATAATCACTGTTACTTTAAAAGGCTATTTTGCTTTGTCCTTTTGGGGGTGGGTGATGAGGGTATCATGCCAAATATTCAGGATTTTCCTCACGGATTTATAGTTTGAAACACTAATATGTTCCAAATTCATTGTATTTCACCATTCTTAGCTTCTTGTCTTTGTGTTCCAGTTTGCACCATTTTTAAATCTTCACTTAAGGGAAAAAAAAATGTAAATTATGCTGATAATTTTTAAAATGTGAAAAGCTATTGTATTTCTCGTAACGTACACACATATGGACAAACTGGTAATTCTGAACAATTTCTGTTTAAGGAAATGTTTTTAAACAATGCAAAAATTGACTGCAGTTACAGTGTATAAAGGCCTATCACGGTAGTAGTTTTATTATATGTATTACTTGTAAATAACAACTTATTTTTGTCTGTTACTTTAAAAATGTTCTGTGTTCTTTGTTCATAAATACCTTCAGTTAAGTGCCTTGATTTGAGAGAAGTCTGATAAGACACTGATGAGTAGCCAGAGTTAGTTAGATAAATTTAATTACCTAAATAATCTCACTTTTGACAAAAGAAGAACTAGCTGAGAGAAATGCTATCTATATTGCATCAAGATCAGTTAAAAATTGAGAATATTAGGGAAATGAGTATATAAAATCATAATTCTTTTGAAATTAACATTGTGTCAACACTGAAACGTTAGACAAGTGGAAGCTAAAAGAGGATTCCTTGCTTATCTCAAGGAGCATCTCGTATAGCACTATTTCCTGCATAGGGCTTGAGCGATGCTGAGCAGTTGCTACGTGAGCTGTTGGAAGGAGCATCTGGGTTAAAAGAAGTAACATTGGCATGGAAGGGAGGAAGGAACTGTATTGTTTGTGGGAGCAGTCTGGTGGCTTGGTGCTCATTTTCCATAGTGCTGCTTTTTGGAAATCGCTGTGCAGCTGCATGAATCCTGTTCTTGCTGTTACAGTCATTTGGAAGCAACAGCTTTCTGGACTGGAAAGCAGAAATTGATAGAAAAGAAGTGTCCGTTCTCATACTGAATTTTTATTCTGTATGCTCCTGAAATGATTGTGGGCTCCTGTAATTACCTTCTCTTTATGGCAAGGAAGCCCATACTGTAGCTGATGCTGCTTCTCCCAGCAAGGAAGTACCATACTGTAGAGGGATGGGGAAGGAGATGCTTCAGAAGCTGTTGCTGTGGCAGCTAGCACCCTTTTTGGTTTCTTTGTCTTGTCTTTCCAAGATGTTTATAGCTAGCTGCCTGACTTGGGGGGGTGGGGGGGTTTCTTTTTTGTCTTGTCATAAATTTGGGGGTTCTTTTTCTAATTTAATTCTGACTACCACTGCCATTTTTTTTTTTATCTGGGAGAGGAGCTTAATTGCTTATTAGGCTTTTTCCTTCAGTGGGCTCTGCCTTTTTGGCAAAGTGTGAATGTGTTAAACATATCACTGGCAATACTTCAGTTCACTTTGCTGCTTCTACGGGAAGTTCGTATTGTGAAATGCCTTGGGTCAGATCAGGACTTCTAAAGGTGACAGACTCCGTGTACAGCATCAAGCAGTAAAGCCTCACAGTAGTTCTGTATCTAGCGCACTCGTTCTGCATCTCTGCCTTTCATGATGCTGGTTTTCAAGGTAAGGCAGCCAGGCGCAGCATGTGGTAGCCCTGTCACCCTTGCCGAGCTGAAAAATGACATCTTGAAGCACTAGTTGTGGTAAAGCCTTCCTTCACAGGAACCACCTGTGGTACTTACCCTTCCCCTTCTGGCAGATACGTAATAAAGGGAGGTAGAAAGCTGTCTTTTTGTGACACTAATGCAGGGGGGTTTGCCTGTCCATAGCAAAAGGGTGTTGCTCCTCCCCTGGAGAGAGGGTGTAGCTGAACCCTGTGAGGAGCAGGCTGTCTCTCCTGGGCCTGTGGCACCCAAGGAACGGTGCTGCCTTTGTGCTGTCCAGTCTTCCGGCCGGCCTGGGGGCAGAGCAAGGGACAAGAAGAAGATGGGCTGACTGAAATGCATGGCAGTTGTAAAAATGCAAGCTGAACTACACCAGAAAACAAAAGTTGAGAGGTGCTGTCCCGGGAGGTAAGTTTACAGATGACGGGCATGAAAAAGGCAGCAGTTAAATAGGCAATACTTCTTCATGAAAGAGAGAAAATGGTTGTACAAGTGTGTTGGCTTTCAGCACTTGGTACACTGTCAGGGCATGACCCTTTTCTAGTGACCCGCCTGGGCCTGTGGCCGCAGCAAAGCGCGGGCAGAGCTCCCCTCAGCCGCTGTGTGCTTCAGGGGGCAGGGTGACCCAGCAGCGGCGCTGCCTCCT